TCGACGAAAGATGGGGAGGCGGGCGGCCGACTATCGGCGCCCGTTCGAAGGAGATCTCGCATTGGATCTGGTTTCTTCTTGGCTCCTTCTCTGTTGCGGGGCTGGTCTTGTTCGTGGTTCACCATAATCACCAGGAAGATCGGATTGACCACCCGCTGCTGGTAAAGCCTATGGACGTTTGGTTTATTTGACTTAAATAACAACGGTGTTTTCTTGCTTAAATGGATTGATTAGTAACATATATCACTTTCTTGCCGTTTACATCAAACGCCCGAATGTTTTGTTACTTACGTTGAGCTTAAGTTTGATGTTTGTATATACATATGTATATGTATATGTATATGTACATATGTATTAAATATGCCATTTTGTGGTTAATGGAGACTATTCTTTGATTATGTTAGTTGTCGTACTGCATCAAGTGAAGTTAACTATGATCTTAAATCATACAATTTTATAAGTAGATCTTAGGGTTTTAAGGGCAAAATTCCTTCAATTCTGGAAATGGGATTTGATTGAATTCCTCTGCTGTGATCCCTACTGTTTTATATGTTGAAACTTTTTCATCATTTTATGTTATAATCCATACTTGTGTTTAGATGGCAAGCCAGTCTGTTTGGTCTTTTGGAGACTGAGGTTTAGTACTACATAGCGTATAAAAAGCTTGTGAAAATTCGAGTGTTTTGAAATGTTTGTTTGCATAAGTCGATAATTAAGCAGATGAAAATACCCTTGTTTAATTTGCACATCTATTTGGACAGTTAAAACAAGTTGATCCCCCAAAAAAATAAATGAGTCTGAGACCTGCGAAATTAAGGAACATTGGTGCTAGTTGCTGAAGCAAAAGCATTGGATAGAGAAGCAAGACTCAAATATTAGGTAGCATGTCATCTAGTGGAGTTGATGTGGAGAGGTGAGAGGTCGGGTTAAATGAAGGACAGGGATGATTAGAGTTCTCGCATTGTGGGTTATATTGATTGTTGTTTATCTTGAGACTCTGCTGGACTTTTTTATGGCTTTCATTGGTATCTATGGATTATATGTTCTCATTGTTCTGTGTTGTAGATTGATTAGAGGAAGATTAGAAGACCCATTTTTGTCAGGGGGAAATCATGTAATCAAATGTTGCAAAAGTTATAAAAGTATAAATTCAAATAAATCTTCTTTCATGAATTGTATTTGCTATAATTAAATATGCAGGCGAAATGCACCTTAGAATTTATTTTCTTCGTTTCTCCTTTAGAATACATCACCGATCATCAGGCTAGGAGTGATAGACCTTGAGGTCCTCGTGTCTTAAGAAGAATTATAACTAGATATGTAGGATTCTCTCTGTAAATCCAGTAATAATGCTTCATTATAACTTTTCCAACCATTGACTTTATTTCAGGATATTTTATCATTTAAATTATTTCGCACCGAGTTTTTTCATGTGTGTTTTGTATATATTTGCATGCTGCACTCTTAATATGAAACTCTGTTTCATCTGAATGTTCTGGAGTCTGGATAG